TGACCCTTTCGGTGTGGGCCAACACTCTAACCACTAAGCCACACAGGCTAGGGCGAGTTAATAAATCTCTGACGTTTGTTCATTCTATATTTGAGTGAGAGTCGGGCTTTGAAATTATGTCATATCCATAAGACAGAAGAACAAGCCATCGCCTGAAAGCAGCTCAGGCGGGAGTACCCAGAAGGTGGGTCCACTTGGCTCTGCTGTCCTGGGGAAACGGAGAGCCACGATCTCCCCTTCGAAGCACGCAGAGGGCAGACAAGTCCCAGTGAAGCTCTGCCAGCATTGCCATCCATCACCCAATGTTACGGGTTAAAGGTGTCACCCCGAATTCATGTGCTAGAGTCCTAAGCCCACAGTATTTCAGAATGGGACCTTATTTGGAAATAGGTTCATTGCAGATGTAACTAGTTAAGATGAGGTCCTGATCCAATAGGACTGGTGTCTTTATAAGAAGAGAAGAGACACAGAGAGAAGATTGTGTAAGGACAGAGATTAAAGTTACATGTCTACAAGCCAAGGTCTGCTGGCAAACTCCAGGAGCTGGACGAGGCAGGAAGGAGCCTCCCCCGAAGCCTCCAGGGGCGTGGGGCCGCTAACACCCCGATCTTGGTCCTTGTTTGGTGGCCAGGACATGGACACACCAATGTGCACAGCCTTCCTGAGGACTGAGTCTGGCTGGCTGCGCTGAGAGGGCGTGGCAGCTCCACCGTGGTGCCTTGAGCGTGACAACTGGCCGGTCCGTGGAGGTTAAAAACTGACTCTTCATGTGTTCAAATAGCTGAGTCAATCCTAAAGGCTCGGGAGGCTGCTATAAATATTTTGGATACTCTCCAAACATTTCTAGACCTCTTCAAGCTCCAAGTGAAAACAGTTCTTCTTTTTTAATTAATTAAAGCAGAGCTCATCGTTTTGTTTGAAACTTGCAGGGTTCAGCAAAACGTCAGCACTCGTGAGGAGATGTGTGCCACAGTTTATTCAATTTCCTTTTAATAACTTTGTTTACGTGTCACCAGCATTCATGTCCAGGATTCCATTTCTGTCCGCACTGGTGGGTGTGTCCCCACTGAGCTCACAGCATGACTCCGTTCCTCCCAAGACTGCCTTCCATCACGTTTTCCTCGGCTTCCAGCCAGCCATGAACTCGGATCCGACCAAAATACTCTACTGCCATCCCCACTGCTGCCCGTACGGAGCTGCATTTAAATCCTTCCTCTCCTGGAGAAAGAGTCATCTGGGACACACCTATTAGAGAAAAAGTGGGGAGGTGACATCCATGCTGAAGCCCAGTTCTGATTTGATCAGTTCATATAACCACACTTCCTTCCTAGACTCAAGGGGAGAGACGAGTACTAAACTCCCTTTCTACGCATTTGCTTGGTTTCCCTAAAAACTCTTCCCCAGTCCCCATCAAAGAGGGGAGGCTTTTGAAACTCCTAGGGATTCTCTAAATCTTGTTTTTAAGACTGTTCATGACTCCTTTTAGGTAAACATTAAATGACAAAGCAGACCTGGGGCCTGTCTATGCATGCTAACTCTTCCACGCTTCTCCCCAGTTTTAACCCATCAAATGCCCAGGGTGCAACATGGCCCCTCCAAGGCCAGGGGGCAGAGCGAGTGCCCCACTTTCCCCTGAGAGACCCTAACTGTCACCTGCTCCTTTATGCTGCCAGGTTTGGGCTCAGCAGTACCATTCAGTGCCTTCTCCAGAACAATTGGAATCACTTCCTAATTCTTGTTGTGAAAACTAAGTGAGCCGCCTCTGTCTTCAGAGACCATTTGCTGGGTAAGATGGTTATCGGTATAATTTTCCAAATGAATAAACTAAGTTATATGACTTTTCAAAGATCCTTGATGACTGTTACAGATAAGAGAAGGCAACAGTCAAATGAGTAATCAGATAATTCACCCCAACAAACCAAGCAATCCTAATGACCCTGTAATTAGGTTGCTTTAGCCTAAGCACCGAAGCACGCCGCATGCACGCCGTGCACACAGCTGGCCTCACAGCTGGCCTCGGGTCGTCAGAGAGACCGCCCAGGGAAGACGCTTTCAGCTGAGCGTGTGTAACGCTTGTCTGGGTGGAGAGTCCCCGGCCTCACACGCGGTTGTGCCTCTGTCATTTACTTAAACCTTCTCAGTTTCTATAAAAGTTCCTCTTTATGCAACAGTGAATGCTCACCCTCAGAGGGCTTTGTTGGTATTTGTAAATTCTACAGGTTATAGTAATACATGCTCATTGTGAAAAATTCAGTAAGTGCAGAAAGATACGAATAAAGCAAATAGGGAATTTCCCCTCCCTCCCACAGGTAGCTGCTGTCAGCAGCGTGTCCCCAGGCTGTCTACGACCCAAACAGTCATGGAGATGGTGTTTTCCGCACACATCCCCTATTCAAGGCATATGGCAGTTCCTCCCTCCTTCTTACAGCTTCGACCCGGGACATTCTGAGGCCACAGTTCGGCCCCTCCTAGAAACACATGCTCACAGCTTATCATCAGAAAGGACCTTCCCTAGAATATGGCATCTCTCTCTCTCTCTGGTTCCGTGAAAGCTGTCGATTATCCTAGAAACCATGGTTCTTGGGCGGTTCCCTTAGAGCAGTGGTTCTCCACCTTCCTAATGCCACGACCCTTTAATACAGTTCCTCATGTTGTGGTGACCCCCAACCATAACATTATTTTCGTTGCTACTTCATAACTGTAATGTTGCTACTGTTATGAATCGTAATGTAAATATCTGCTATGCAGGATGTATTTTCATTGTTACAAATTGAACATAATTAAAGCATAGTGATTAATCACAAAAACAATATGTAATTATATATGTGTTTTCCGATGGTCTTAGGCAACCCCTGTGAAAGGGTCATTCGACCCCCAAAGAGGTCGCAACCCACAGGTTGAGAACCGCTGCCTTAGAGTCTAAGCATCTCCCTGTTTGGGGCCGCCGTCTAGGTAAAACCTTTACACTGTCTATTGCCCTCACGGGCCTTCGTTTCCAGAGTTTCCCATAGGCCGGGCCTCCCAGCAGGTGGTCTGCCTCCTTCCTTCAGGTACCTCAAAGAAACCTGAACCAGACATCTCTGGGGGGACCCGAGTGATGCAGGAGGCCCATCATCTAACCCTTGTCTTTTGCACCTGGGCCATGAGGAAGAAACCAAAGGCCCTTTGTTGGGCTTGGGCATTCACTCACTGTCAAACTTGGGACTGAAAGGATGGTCCCATCCAGACCAAAACAGTCACATGGCACTTCAGTTCCCCACAACTCTCAATGGCTTCCGTGTACCATCTAAAGAAGGTCCAAATGCCTTAGCTGAGAACACAAACCCCTCCACTCTCCTCTGCTTTTCCCCCTATTCCAGAATTTATCAACAGAGGCACACATGTCGCTTCGTGTAGTAAATTTGTGGGTGAGATTGTCTGCACAAGGCAAGGGTGTTCAGTACCCCCAGCTCTGTCCTCTAATTGCCAGTGATGCTCCCCAATCACCGTGACAATGGAAATGACTTCCACACATTCTCCAGCCCCAAGGGTCACCACAGCCTTGAGCACCTCTGCACATCAACATGAGGGGTGCCAGTCAGTATGGCCAACGCAGGACCTTGCACCACCCATTTCTTCAGCTCTTCTCCCCACTCTCACCAACCCCTCAAGCACCAGAAGGAAACCACAATGAAACGCTAACGCACTTCTGAGGAGGGAGAGACCAGAGCCAGCCTGAGGGCGGGAGTCAGAAGAGCGATGGGAGGAGGAAGCATCACAAGCTCCAAGCAGCGGGTCCAGCAAAACACCAGCTCAAAGCAAACCCAGCTCTCCTGTGCTGAATGCACAACACGTTTCATGCCGTGTGTGTGTGTGTGTGTGTGTGTGTGTGTGTGTGTGTGTGTGTGTCTGTGTGTGTGTGTCCCTGCTTGGCCCAGTCTGGAAGGATCCTGGTCAGAGGCCATGAGTCATAACTTTGACAGTTGAGCCGTCTCAATGGGAGGATGTGAATCCAGACTTCCAGGGCATGAGCCTCATCCCTTGGGGAGCGGGGACGCCGGCTGAGCACTGCCAACTGCTGCGGAGTGCTCTGACTTCCTTCTGGGACATCCCGAGGTCGCCTGTTCCAGGAGCAGGTCACCCGGCTGGAGTGTTCGGTCCTCAGAACATTATCAAGAAGCCCTCACGAGTTGTTGTACACCTAGAACGACCAGCTTGTGTCTCGCGGGGACATGTTCGGTCCTCACCCCTCATATCTCAAGTGAGAAGGATTTCAGCCAAGATATCCCTCGGGTGGAGGGGGAGGGTGCTCTCTGCCCATCTGCGAACACAGCCTTAGAGGCCCAGTAAAAGGAAGTACCAGTGGTGCCGAGCATGGCGGGGGCAGTTTGGGGCTTCCTGTCCTTGAAAGCAGCGCCTGATTTCCTGAGGCCACAAGACCCAAATGTCTGGGTGTTGCATGCCAAGCTGCAGGGTATCCAGGCTTCTGGAACATACCTGCTTTCTGTGTAGATCCGGCTGATTTCTCTCCCGAAAGAGAGAGTGTGGTGCAGGCAGCCCAGCTGCAGTCAGCAGCCCCAGGCTCTTGCTCTCAGCCAAAGGGCCATTGCCAAGATTTCCCCTCCCTCTAACGAAGCCTTGGCAGTGTAGGCAGGTACGTACGCTGGCTATGCTGGCTCTCTCCCATCTCAGGGTCGGGGGAGAGGCCTCATTTGGCCACACAGAGTCTTGTTGGCATCAAAGACCTTCCTGCTTTCAGCCAAGAAGTTCCATGTCCACCCCTCCTGGGCCTTCTTAGAGCCTCACTGACAAGGAACCCGTTGTAAAGGGGAGACTTCAATTCAAAATCCACTTGAAGTGTGTTCAGAGTTACTTAGCTAACAAAATTTACTGGGGGTGCTAAATGGGTGCAAAAAGAACATTTTTCCAGTTGGCTTTGCAAAAATATAGATCTTTGTCACAATTATAAAATTAAAGGCCACCTGTTATGTGGTGTAATGAGTGGGGGAATGTGACATTACCTCCTTCCATGGAGACATCAGTCGGTGCCAGATGCCACAGTCCAGCACCCCATGAAGACGTTTCCTGGGAACTATGACTCCATTAGATGGTCACGGCAGCAAAGAGTAGACAGATCAAGCCCTACAAAATAATGCCGAGTTTTCAGAATTTTAAAATACACGTCTACTAGGAAGCTGACTCACAAGCTTTTCTAACAAATATTTTTATCAGCCAGAAGGGAAAAAATGTTCTGAAAAAAGTTACTGAAAGCTCTAAAAATGTAAGCTTTTATATCACTGGACATTTATCTACACCTCCAATACAACAAGTTATTCTTCTAAATAAGGGGCATCTGTTGCATTTTGTCTGCCCAGCAACCTTTCCTTTTTGGAGCTCTGCCCTGCCACTCAGGGCTGTTGATCACATGGCATATTTCCAGTTAGAGCTGTCTATGCACGTCCCGATCATGAGTGGGAGCGCAGCCCATGCAAGGCCAGCCGACTCCTCCCTGGAATGCCAGTGGGAGTGCTGTGGAACCATGGAAGCTTCCTCCGGACCTGAGGACATTACAAGCTGAGAGCGGCTGTGCCAACGGAGCCACTCCCAAAGGAAACAGAACTTCAGGAGAAATCCATCTGAAACCCTGAGGTCAGCGCAAGCCGGGACTTCTCAGTTACTCAAACCAATGCATTCCCATTTGCAGTGTAAGCACGTTTGCATTGAGTTTCTGCTCATGCAGCCAAACTGGCCTTAAGCAACACATTACTGAAATCTCCAAGTCTTGCTGCAGTTATCCCTGGGCAATGGCATCCCAGGACACAGGCTTTGTCCAAACACGGGTGCATGAGGATGACCATGGCAAAATATTTATGCTACCTTGGTCATCCCTGCTTCTGGGGTCCCCGCAGACCGGCAAGCCATGGAGCTGGCTGGATGTCTCGGTGACCCCACCTGGCATCATCATCCATCCAGCCGCACCCTTCCCATGATTCTCAGCTCCCACAAGGTGTCTCTGGGGTGATTGGTTCTGGCAGCTCCTTGTGCTAGAGCTGAGCATGGGATGTTTTGGACTGAACTAACACTTGATCAGTAGTAGCCCCTCTATAGTAGACGTGTTCAATAATGAGACTGTCGCCCTCTTCTTCCCTTCTAAGACCAGCAGGGAGTCAGCAGTGGAAGCCATGTGGCTGCAGCAGGGCTGGGGAGTCAGGCATGGCTTCCATTTGGACATCCCAAGCAGTTTCCATTCACTGTCTCATTGAATTGCCATACTACGCACCAACAGTTAGGACGTGTCATGCCATTTTGCAGATAAGGAAGTTTGGGGTGGAGAATAAAAGTGACTTGGGAAAGGTTACATTACATGGAAGAGGTGAACTGTGTATTTCCAATTTAAAGGTCCTCCTTTTCCCACCATGCACCTCCTCCCTGCCCCATCTTCTCCCCTCCCTTCTTTCATCCCTCTCCTGCCTCCCTTCCTCCCTGCACCTGCTCAGCAAACTCACCAGGACTAGAATCAGGACTCACAAAGGTGAGGTTCCACATTTCAGACTAAGGAGGGGTTAATCAGGCTATGGTAGGCAGCCTTGCCTGGAAATGGGTGTTGCTTCTATGGGAAGATCTCTACGGAATTCCATACAACCACTTATATTTAGCACTAAATACCACCAACAGTAACAGGATACAAAGGGCACAGAGTAGGGAGAGCAAAAATCTTCTTCTACAGCAAGATTTTTGATGTTAAAAACAAATCTTCCCTTGAAAACCAGAATAAGATGGTCACCCTCAGCAAAGGCCCTGAGGACTTTTCCACAAAGGGATTTTCACCTTAACGAGATCTGACCACCTTCACTCACTATGGTGAGCAGTGTTACAAACGTTTTACCACAACCCACAGTTATGACATTTTACATCATGAGCCAGTGCACACTCAGAAAACAGATATAGTGGAAATGAAGAACTCACATCTGATAAACTCTGATATCCTATACCTATTCTGTATCATTAAAAAACTGCTCGTTAACAAAATACTAAATTGATTTCAAGACCTACCAGTGGGTTGCAAACCATGAAAGAAACATTTACCAACTAATTCTATGAGGCCAGCATTTCTTGGATACTAAGCCAGATAAAGATAATACAGGAGAAGGAAATACTATCATAAATAATACATCATGACCAATGGGGTTTATTCCAGGGATTCAAGGTTTGTTTATTTAACACTTGAAAATCAATCAAGGAAATTCACATATTAATAAATGAAAAAAAGAAAAACATAGGATTGTCTCAATAGATCAGGGGTGGGCAAACTTTTCGACTCGAGGGCCACAATGGGTTCTTAAACTGGACCAGAGGGCCGGAACAAAAGCATGGATGGAGTGTTTGTGTGAACTAATATAAATTCAAAGTAAACATCATTACATAAAAGGGTACGGTCTTTTTTTTTTTTAGTTTTATTCATTTCAAAGGGGCCGGATCCGGCCCGCGGGCCGTAGTTTGCCCATGGCTGCAATAGATGCACAAAAAGCATTTGACAAAATCTAATACCCATTCCTAATTTTAAAAATCTCACATGATATTATTAGTAGAAGAAACGTCCTCATATTGATAAAATGCATCTATGAAAATCCTACAGCTAACATTACACTTAATGGTGAATTATTTCTCTAAAATCAGAAATAAGACTGGGATACCCACTATCTACTATTTCTACTCAACATTGTAGTGGAGGTTGCTAGACAATCAATAAGGCAAGAAAAGAAGTAAAAAGCACCCAGATTGGAAAGGAGAAAGTAAAGTGTCTATATTTATAAACAACATGATCATCTATGTAAAATATGTTATTGAATCTACCAAAAAAGCAACGAAACAAAAAATTTAGTTATGCAAAGTTGTAGGATAGAAGGTAAATATACAATAATCAAGTGTTTTAATAATCATAAATTGAAATAAAAAAACATTTACAATAGCATGAAAAATACAAAATATTTAGAAACAAATTCAAAATGCATCATTATCCCAAATGAAAAACTTTTACCTATAAAACTTCTGGAAGAAAGTCTTTGTGGCCTTGGGTTAGGCAAATATGATTCCAAAAGTAGAATTCACTTAAAAATAATAAATTGTACTTCAAAATTAAGAACTCTGCCTTTTGATAAAGCAGAGTTTTCATTCCTTAATGGAATGAAAAGACTAGTCACAGATTGGAAGTAACTATTTGTAAATCACACATCTGATAAAGGACTTATATCCGGAATATTTAAAGAACTCTTAACAGTCAACAAATAACTCACTAATTGGAAAAGCAAACATCCCAAGAAAAAGGAAAAAAAAGAGAAAATTTAAACAGAGACTTCATAAAAATATATATATTTGGATGGCAACAAGCACATTAAACAACATCATTAGTTATTAACAGCATCATTAGTTATTAGAAAAGTGCAAATTCAAGCCACCTACTGGAATGGCTAAAATTAAAATGACTAGCCATCTCAAGTGTTGGTGGGGATGTGGCGCAACTGGAACTCATACACTGCTGGTGGGAATGAAAAATGGTAAATCACCTTCAAAAACAGTTTGTCACTTTCTTAAAAAGTTAAACAAATACCTATCATATGGTCCAATCATTTTGTTTCGAGATATATCCCCAAGAGAAATGAAAGTTTATGTGCATACAAAAACTTGTATGCAAATGTTCATAGCCACCTTATGGGTAATAACCAATAACTGAAAGCAAGCCAAATGTACAACAGGTGAATGATGAACAAATTTTAACACATCCATACATGAGAATACTACTGAGTAATAAAAAGGAATAAACTATCGAAACATGCAACAATGTAGATGAACCTGAAAATAAATTTGCTAAGTGAAAGAATACAGACAAAAAAAGTCTACATGCTGTACGACTCCTTTTATGTAAAACTCCAGAAAATGCAAACTATCCTATAGTGACAGAAAGCTGACCAGTGGTTTTGCCTAGTGATGGGTATGAGGGTTTATGTTCAGGAGGGAGGATTTACCAAAGGGCCTGAGGAGATGTTTCTGAGTGATGGGCATGCTCCTAACTTGACTGTGGTGGTGGTTTTCACAGGTATATCCATACATCAGAGATCTATCAAAACTTATGCAAGCAGTATATTGTATTACCACTATAGTGCAATAAAGCTGTTCAAAAAAATCAAACAAATAAAAACCAATTGTGAATGGTCTGGTCAGTACCCAACACTATGTCTTCTTTTAAGACACTTGGCCCTTGAACAACATAGGTTTGAATTGTGCAGTTATAGACAGATTTGAATTGTCCACTTATAGACAGATTTTTTGAAATAAATACACAGTCAGCCTCCCATATCCCTGGGTTTCATGTCCATAGATTCCCAACCATGGGTAGAAAACAGTATTTTAGATCCCTGGTTGGAAATGCATGGACATAGAGAGCTGACTCCATGTGTTGTTCTATGATATCTTATATAAGGGACTTGAGCATCCACAGACTTTGGTATCTGAGTGGGGGTCATGGAACCAATCTCCCCTGAATACCTAGGGATGACTGTAGTTAAGTTTTGGGGGAGTCAAAATTTATACATGAATTTTTGACTATATGTGGGGAGGGTCAGCACTAAGTTGTCCAAGGGTCAGCTGTACTCAATTCACATTTATTGAGTGCACACCTAAATAAATGGTTTTATTGCCTTGAAATCATCACCCACAGATGTGGTGACAGGAGAATACAGAAGTTTCATTTCCCTACAAACACCTCATTTCCTACCCACCTCCTACCCACCTCCTACCCCACCTCTACACTTTCATCTCAGTTTTTTTTAAAATATATTTTTTATTGATTTTTTACAGAGAGAAAGGGAGAGGGATAGAGAGTTAGAAACATTGATGAGAGAGAAACATCAATTTAGCTGCCTCCTGCACACTCCCTACTGGGGATGTGCCTGCAACCAAGGTATATGCCCTTGACCGGAATCAAACCTGGGACCCTTCAGTCTGCAGGCCGACGCTCTATCCACTGAGCCAAACCAGTTAGGGCTCATCTCAGTTTTTATCCTTAGAAAGAGCCACTGGCTCTCCACCTCCTGACCACAGGCTGGTTGTCCACATAAAGCTTCCATTGCCCTGGATCTAACCTTCCCCTTGTGGAGGTGAGCTGTCTACTTCATCGTTGCTATTTCAGGGGATATAAAACAGTGCCCGACAACTCTTTCCAATTTCGGAACACATTATCCAGTTTATTTCTTATCTATTTCCTGCATTGGTAACTAGGTTGAAAATTGTGGGCTTTAGCATGGATCAGACCTCCTCCACTACTCCCCATATTTGCTTTCTGCGTTCTATAGTTATCAAAATCACAATGAGCAAGCGTGAATGCATTTTATTAAACGAAGTTTCTGCATAATGGGAGGTATGGTAATTATGGGGGTACCAACTCAGTAGAAGGGGTGAATGGGGAACGGAAGTGAGGTCCATGCTAACAGGTCAGGGGACCTGAACAGCTCCATCCAGTGGGACCATACTGGTGCCTGGTCACCTGAAGCAGTGAGCCCACCCCACGCAGACCCTTCCAGAGGGGCATCGCAGAGGCCAGGATGTTCACTCTTACTGGGACCAGCTTCTGGGAATGACATGCGCTCTAAAAACTCTCTTCTCCACACACACACAAATGATGCAGAAACTAATTGCAAACAATTTCTAGTAGTTTGCACACTCCCTGAAATCTATCCGTGGGCCACTGGTTTAGAACCCCCAAGAAATAATGAACAGAAGTGCCCGCACACAGGTCTTTCCAAGCTCTGCGGTGTTGGCAGCACTCTCAGCACTAGGCTGCACGTGAGTCGCGAGCTGACAAGGCAGTGCCTGGTGACTAGTTCAGACACGGATGCAGATGACTTATCTATTAAATTGTTAATTCTATTTGAAGATGGTCCTCATGAGCATTCACTTCCCCGAATTGAACGTATTCATGCTCATTAACCTACCTTTAAACCCATGGCCTAAAAATAATTGCACCAGCAATGACATTTCATTCTCCCACTGTGAAAGGGGAGAAGAAACGGGTCTGGACCTCAAGTGTTGAACCCACAAGCAACATGACCAACCATTTGGGGAGGAGGTGACTTGCTGTCCCCTTTCTCATCACGTTGGGGTTCAGGGGGGTATCGGAATAGGAGTCTCCAG